CTGTAGCTCTGAGTAAGTTTTATCTTTTTTTCTATCCATCCTATTCTCTGTTCTGCCAACTATTTACACAACCTCTTTAAGTATGTTATTTGTTGTTTTCCTCTGTCTCCCTTGTCTATGTCATGTAACTCTCAAAGTCATCTTTTCACAATATGTGTCTAAAAATTTCAATTGTTTCTTTCCAATGCTAAGTCTCCTTTTCCTTAAAAATTCACAATCACTCACATGTTCAATCCATGGTATTCTCAGCTTCCTTCTGTAGAAGCACATTTCTGTTGCCTCAAATCTGTCCTTCATCTGTGAAGAGTTTGTCCAGCATTCACTGTTGTATAGGAGGACTGATATTACATAATAGTTCAGCATTCATTTCTTTGTTTGTAATGAAATTTTCCTGTTTCTTAATACTTTGCTTAGCTTTTGAAAATCATCTTTCACTATTCTAATGTACCTTCAGATTTTGCCATCACATTTTCTATCCTCTGTTAAAACACTAACTAGATATTTAAATTTTGTATTCACTTTTCTGATGTCCCAAATTCATGATTCATATGTTCTGTCTTTTCACAATTGATAGTTAGTCCTTTCTTCTCTCTTTACTTTACAACCTTCTCTCAGTGTTCCTGTAGTTTCCTTTCTGTATCTGCTATCAATACTGTGTCATCTGTATATCTTATGTTGTTAAGATTGTGGTTACTAATAATGAATTCTGGAAGGACTTCTAATTCTCTCAGTTTTATCTTACTTTAAAGGCTGAAAAGGTCTGGTGAGAAGACACTTCCTTGTCTTACACCTCTTTCTATTGATATGTGAGTATTTGCTTCCTTATGTTTCCTTTTCTTAATCTGCACAATATTTTAATTCCCCCAGTCAAGTTCTGAGGAGTGAGGAGAAATAATCAGTTCGCTCATTCTATAGTTTGTTTCTCTTGTATTATCAACTACTTCTTCAAAGTTGGAGTTTTTCTCTTGTTCCTTTTAATTATGTATGTTTATATTGCATAGAAATGGGGGTGAAATGAAAGAGATAATATTTCCAGTTTGCCCTTCCTAATTATAGGCATTAACATATCTATTATATAGTAACACCTTAATACATGGATGGAATAGAATAGGTGAGAAAAAGGAATGCCAAATATGCAATGTTCTCAAAGAGAGTTTTGAAACTGATATATACATACTTGTCACTCCCACACAGAAAAATTATAACATATACATACAACAAGCAGTGTGAAAGGGGCGAAAAGAGAGAATTACAAGTGAGGCACAATAAATTCATTTTACAATTGAAATATCTAGATGTAACCATAAGTTCTATGCTGACAGTTTCTTCTATCGCATTTCTCACTTGTGGAACTCTCTTCCGGCTTCTTGCTTCTCAGTCAACTTTGACCTACAAAAATTTAAATGCAATATCAATCATTATCTTCTGCCTTCTTCATTGTTGTTCTTTTATTGTACTCTCTCCTCAATAATTTTTTTTCACAAATTCTCTAACACTCAGTAATCATCACTTGCATCTTAGTGGCTTTATTTCCTTGCTTGGTGTGAAATGATTTACAAAAAAAAAACAAGCGGCCTAGCAAACTTAGCTATAGTAAATGTCTAAACAATTAAGTAATTACCCTCATGTTCCAAAAGTCATAGGATAGGGACCTAATTTCCACATATCTTAGCCATATATATGTAATAATAGTAATATAGTGGTGAACTTGGAAAAAAGATTTATTCTGCCCATAGCATTTCCCCAATTATGGGCATTATTATATCTGTAATATGATAGCACTGTATTTCACAGACGGAACAGTGATTATTTAATGATTATTAAGTGACTACTGACTGGAACTATCCAATTAAATTAGTGTAAATTATTGTGCATCAAGGATTTGGGTTTTGATTTAGAATTTACTGGATGTTAAGCCAAGACATGCTACTAACAAGGTATTCACTGAAATGGTTAATTATTTTTGGTTGACTTTTACTTTTTTGTTCTTGTTAAGTATTTATTTGCGGTTGTAATTAAATAATGTTTAATTTTAACATTGTAGTCTTGAGTTATACTTAATTATTAACAGCCACCATACGTCACAAGAATAAGTATACCATGCTTAGAATATTGCTGCCACATATATATTGCTATATATTTAGAACAGCATTTCTCAACCAATACACCCAGGTGCAGTAATGTGTCCCAAAAGGTAGCAAGGTGCACCTCAAGTTAACAGAAGAGACATTTATGAATTATTTTTATCTTTAAAAAATCTTTATTTATAAAAAAAATGCTAGAGACACTAGCACATGACTTGTATGTTTAAGTCAAGGCTTTGTCATTTGATATTTTAAACTGGATGTTAAATAAATAAACCTTTCCTCAAGGCATAACATACAGGGCCTATTCAAAAAGTTACCAAAATGCATCAAGCACAGTTTTCCCATAAGCATACTTATATATTTTAAGACATTTTATGTTTATACATAATTTTTTATAGATAAAAACAAAAATGTCTTAAAATAATTGTCAGACTTTGTCCATTTTATAATGTTTATATATACAACATGATGTCATAAAAATTTTATGTCAGGAGATTTCTTTATAATTTTCCTATTCCATGAATAATTTTATTTCAGGAGATTTCTTTATAATTTTCCTATTTCATGAATAATTTTTCCTTATTATAATTGAAAGTACACACCAGTTTTAGTTATTCTACAAGGACACCCTGAAGTAAAAAAGGTTAAGAAACACTGATTTTAGTCAGTCAGTTATGTGCCATGACAATATTTTAATACTTAATCCCTGAACTTTATCAAGCAATAAAAAAAGTAGAGTAGTTTTTTTTTTAGAACCAGTGATGAGTTAATTCATCTGTTTTCTTATTTGTCCTGTAGTTTTCAATAGTCATATTGTTTTAGAAAAATATTATACTGTTTCACTTTCACTTTTTATAATAAAATGTAAATATATCCTTTATATTCTTGGCTAGAAAAGAAATGAAGCCACCTAGTTTCATAAAACTAAAATAAAAAATTTTTCTTTGATTTAAAGAGAAAATCACTTTCTTTAAATTAAGTAACATAGACTAAAACTGAAAAGTGAATCTTTAAAAATATGTTCAGTTCAACTGAATTTCCATACTGATTCCATACTGATTCCATACTGAATTTCCATACTGATTCTTAAAACTACTGTCTTTCAGGTGGAATTATATAGTTTGATATTTTAACACTTATCAAGTTAAGCCAAAATAATAAAAATCAACTGACTCTTTTTTTTCTTAGCAATAAATCACTTGGTGTTTCCTTTTTCATTAAAATTTTGACATATTCATTTTTATCGTGTTCTTTTCATTTCTAAAAATGTACTTTTCTTTACAATTTTTTCTAAAATTAATTGATAATTTGGTAATTTATTTTTTAAGGTTCTTCAAATAAAAATCATACAAAGAAAGTATTGCTAGTTTTCCCCACCCTAAAACAAAAATAAATTATTTTCATTAACCACTTCTAGCTTCAAGATGACTTTGTGTCAAATTTTATGGTCTACTGCAAACTTTCCTAAAATTCCATGGACAGGGTAAGTAAGCAATGAGGAAGTGTTAGAAAAAAATGAAAACAAAAAGATTTTTCTGATACTCAGAATTGGGAAGCAACAGCTGAAATTTCTTGGATACATAATGAGAAAGGATAACTTAGAAAACTTAACCCTCACAGGGCATAGACAGATAGGGGTAGGCAGCGAGCAACTTACATGACAAGCTTGTGTGAATGGATGGTGGGGGTGGAGGCCTTAGCAGAAAGAAGAAAAACAACTAAGAGCCGCACAAGATAGGAAGTTGTGGAGAGCCATGATCGTCTATGTCCTAAAAGGTTGCAGCACATAGAAGAAGAAGAAGAAGAAGAAGAAGAAGAAGAAGAAGAAGAAGAAGAAGAAGAAGAAACTTCAAATGTCTAAAGAAATTGATTTTCCTGGAATTATAAAATAATATCATCACTTATTGTAGGTAATCTCATTAATTAATCATATTAAATGTATTTCTCAATAAGAGTTCCATGGAAGTAGCCATGTGCTAAATTTAACTCAGTCTAATAAATATCAACAAATAATTAATATTAAATTCAGATCTCATTACTTTTTACATATGAAATCTTTGCCATATAAATTTTGTATTCAACTTTAATTTCTGCTACTGAAACACAATTGACTAAATTAATTTGGAAGTTAATCTAAATAAATAATTATTGATATGAAACTAATTGTTTTTCAAGAGTGTTCTCAGTTGGATCTAAATTTTAATATAAAAGGGTCAAGATCCTCAATTGTAAATTATATAAATTTGGGGATTTACCTCCCCTGGATCATGTGTTTAGGGCCTGCAAGATTCTCAGGATCTTGTTTCTCTGATTTATTTAAATAAGAAAGCGTTTATATATATATCATTAGTTAATTTGCATTTGCATTATACCTGACTATCTGAATTTTTAAAGAAACACAGCAATGACAGAAAAAAAAAAAGTTAAACAACATCTTAACAATACTAGACTGGAAAAAATCTACTATATAAGTGCTTAAAATTGTTTTGAATGAAAATAATTGATATACACAGTATTTAACTCCTTGATAGCATTAGTAAAAGCCAATATAGTAAAGTATTTTCTAGCATCATCAAATGTGAAGTTTTTATTCCCAAGCTTCCATCACTGGTTCAAATCTCAGTATCAGCCATATATTTTGTGAGTATTTGATTAAAAGATTTTAACTAAAAACAAATATTGTGTTTACTATAAGTGAATTCATATAAATAGAAAAATAATAAAAGATATTGTGATTTTTGTGAGTGGATAAATGAAAAAAAAAAAATTTGTTTCTCAGTGATATTCAATTGGGACAGTTTTTACAGACGGATTCTACTTGAAGACTTGTCTCGTTCTTGTCTTCTTGATTTAAATAAATGCATTGAGCTTGTATAATTCTTGCGTATTGCTAATTGTATTAAATAACATTTGATGCTTTCGTTTCTCTCCTCTTCTTTGATTTCCTTTTATTCTGTTTGCAATCAGCAAGATTTTTTATCGTATTTTGCACAGTGCCTCATTTCTGTTCAGTAAGTAGGCAAATATTCACAAAGCGGGGTAACATTTTTAATACCATCCTTTTTCTACCTTTCTCATTCTTCAATTCTCTACTCATTATTCTTCCCTTTTCTTTTCCCTTCCCCAACTCATTTATTTGTTTTTTCTTTGTCCTTTTATTTCTCTCCTCTTTGAAACCTTTTGTTCTTTTAATAATATTTGTTTTTTTCTTTTTCCACTCTTTTTAAGGTTTTCTTTTCTTTATATTCTTTTTATTTTAATTTTTCAATTAATTCCTCTTCAAATTTTTCCTCTCTTCACTTGTCTTTTTTATTCATTTTTTTTCATCTTTATCTTCTTCAACTTTTTTCATCTCCATTATATTTTTTTGTCCTTTTCTTTTCACTTATTTTTCTCTTTTCCTTTCTTTCTTGTTTTCTTTTGTGCTTGTCATCTTTTACTTTTTTTTTTTTACATATCTTTTTCATTATTTTTTTCTCTACTGTTTCTTTCTCCCTTCAGTTTTTCTGGTCTTTTCTTTTCTCTGTTTTTCTTTGCTTTTTTCATTGTCTTCAAAATTTTCTCTTTTGTTTTCTTCTACAATTTATTCCCCTATTTATTGTTCTCCATATTGCCTTCTCTTATTCTTTACCCTCCTCTTCTAAACTCATTCAATATTTTTAACCTTTTTCTCTTCACCAACCTCTGCTACAGTTTTTTTTTTCTTTTACTCTTACATTTTCTTTCACATTCCTCTCTATTTTTTATTCATATTTGTTCCTCTCCTCCAACCACTTAAAAGCTTTTCTTTTCATTTTTTTTTATTTCATCATCTTTTCTCTTATTTTCCTCCTTCTCTTTTGTAGTTTCTTCTATCTCTTCAGTAAACAATTCTTTATTTTTTCTCCTCTTCATTCTCTTTTTTTTCCGTCTTTTTTTTTCTTACCAAACTTTTACAAAAGAAAGGTTAGGACTGGATGCTACTTGTAAGTGAATTTCTAAAGAGCTGCATTTGTCACTTGGATTATATACTTATTTATACCTATATTGATAGATAGTAAATGCTTGCATCTTTAAATTTGCATTTATTTATACATTTGCACATAAAAATGCATTAAGAGTATGTCTGTATTTACCAAAGTGTATAGTTATGTGTATTTCTGTATATACATACACCACCATATATAAGTGACTATAACTGCATTCTATACTTCTGTTGATGTATGTCTGCTTATATGTGATGGCTGGCTGGCTCAGATAACAAAGATCTGCTTTTCAATGTGGGCCAAAAGTCTCTAACTACAGACAGACAAAACAACTACCTATTTGTCTGTCTGTATGTCTGTCTGTCTGCTTCTTCAGGCTGTCTCTTGATTTTTCTTCACTTGGGTATTCCAATCCACTACCTTAACAAAAGCAACCAAAAATCATCTTTGTTCTAAGAGGACCCAAAATTCAGCAGGTCCTAAAAATGTCTGACACTGATATAAGTGTTATTTCTTCGGTAAGTAAATTGTTTTTAGATATCTGCACACATTGAAAATATTTTGGTTTCTTTTTCAACTTAGCTTTTTTTTTTATTTTTGTTTTGTTTTTTTAGCTAAAGCAATTCACAAAATGTATTTTTCTTTCTACATAAGTAGAAAGGTAAATATTGCCATCTCAGGTTACAAGCACCTAACCTGGTCATGTGTAAAGAATTATATATTTCTTATTCATACATAATAGCCGATCTATGCAAGTAGTTTGTTTTGAATTATCTTACCACCCCCGCTACTCATCAAGTTGCTTTCTAAAAACAAGTTTCTCATTGTAAAATTTATCAAGTTCTTTTGTTTAATTCAAATTTAAAATTTACTTATTCACATTTTTATTTTAAAAAAAAAATGAATGAAAAATTTTAACAATAAAAAAATATTAACTACAAACCCATAAATTAAAGTTTTGTAAGTAAAAAAATTTTACTACTTCTTTAACGTCTAATATCATCGACTTATTACTATTACTACTTGATTTGCTAGTGTTTAATAAAGTTCATGTTTTTCTGCTAAGATTACTAAAAAATAGATACATACTTTACTAAGCTAATATTTCTTTTTGCAATGGTAATTTCAAAATAATAGCAAAAATCATTTTAAATTTGTTTTTAATATTGGACTTTCACAAATCAATCTAAATAACTTATATCAGAATTGTTTAAAATATAACACTTCAAACATACATTTACCTGTCTTTTGTTTAACCGTAAGCAAGTTATTTTGCTGGTATTTACATTATTTCTTATTATTGTAAATGTTACTTTGAGATTGCAACTCAAATATAGGTTCTGACTAAAAATATAATGTTACAGTAATAAGAGATAACATTAAATAAAAAAAATATTGACATTTGTAAAACCTTCATAAAACTTGTTTAATGTTTAGCATAACAATTCATACCAACCTGAAAATTATACATAATACATATGAAGTCAAACTATACAATTTGTATATTTTGATTATATTTTTTAAACTGGTATTTCTATTTGAGAAGGTATAGTGGATTATAAAAATGTTATCAGTAATCAAAATTATATAAAATATATTTATTAAAATATAAATTATATTTAATTTATATTAAATATAAATTAAATATTTAATTATAAATATTTATAATTAATATAAATTATTCAAATGTGACACTGTTTATATATCCAATTCATCTTAAATTTATATTAATATATCTTTTCAGTTTTATGTCTACCGACAATGTTTCCCAAATTGTATGTCTACTCTATTAGATACTTATATTATTTAGAATAGAATAATATATTCAGATGTTATGCAAAATTTCCCTTTTTACATAAATATAATTTGTATTTACAAAATTTATTTACATTTTCTGGCCCAGAAAATGTATGGTCACTTTACTCTGATACCTTTAGAAAAGGCATGAACCTGTCTTTTATCTATGTGTTGGCAACTGACAGGACTCTTTATTCAAACACTCTAGAAAGAAAGGAACTTGTGAAGAGCCATGACCACCTATGTCCTGAATAGACATGGCATTAAAAAAAGATTTTAACAGATTTATTCTTAAGAGAATATATTCCATTAGGATTGAAATGTTAATATAAGTTTTCCTAAGAACAATCATAGTTGTTTACAACCCTTAAAGAAAAGGAAGTCATGGAGAATCATGATCACCTATGTATTGAATGACATTTTAAAAATTGAAAAATTGTTTGTTGACAATTGCTTAGACTCCTTTAGAAACATCAAAATTTTAGAAATATTTCCTTTAGAATTAGAAATCCTTTTACAATAAATTTTTCCTTTAGACAAATAAATTAAAAATATTAATATTAAAACTTGTACGTTCACTCACATGGATAATTTATATCAACACATGAAACTGTTTATATATCCAATTCATCTTGAATTAATATTAATATTAATATTGATAGCTTTTCAGTTTTATGTCTGTCTTATTATATACTTAGAATAGTTGCAAAGAGGTATGATTTCTACATTTCGATATATGCATATAAAATAGGATACAGAATACCGACAAAGTTTTCAATAAATACAACAAATGGAAAACTGTTTCATTGAAACTAAATTTGATTCCATTTTTCACCTTTTGAGGTTTTGTCAGATCAAAATGAAAAGAAATATATATGTGTGTATGCTTAAATAATAAATAATTAGTACTTTTTCCGATAAGCTGACATTTATCATGATAAAAGGAAAGAATGAAAATGAGTGAATTTTTAAAAAGCCGTTAATATTTATTCTGTATCCTTTCTTTATAATTCTTAATTCATGTTGAAAGATATTTAAATATTCTCCCAGCTTTTCTCTATTGAATTCAATGTAAATCCTCATCTTATTTTCAGAATGGCTCAACAGCAAAAAATTTATGTAGACTTTTCTGAAATTAATCTGAGTTAATTTTGATATATCTAATCATCATTGTAACATTCACATTAAATAATAAAATCAATTAAGAAAATAAAAAGGAAATATTTATTACATTAGGAGCTGAACTGTTAAATAATTGCAACATCTCGGAATTTTAAAAATTGATAATACTTCAGCTATTAATAACTAAATTTCTCCAAAAATTAATATACATCCTCAATAATAATTTAGCATTTCAAACATGTCTGACATTATTATTTTCATATTCTGTGATACCTAATACAGAGTGCGTGGGTGGGGAGGGTCTAATTTTTTTTCTAAATAAGTAATAAACAGAGGGCTCTTAATAAAAAAGGTAATCATAAAATCATTTAAATGCTCGAAAAGTGTGAAATTAAATGTGATGACCTTAATAAGCTGGGAGGTATTGGAAAATTTCCCCCTCCCCACCAAAAAAATACCCCCCTCCCTAGGTACACACAACACCATCACCTAAGAGTATCCATTTCCTTTTTACATGAAAAGAAAAGACATTAACATTAGCAAAGGAATTAAATGATAATATTCGTTTATACATATTTGAAAGCCCTACAAGATTGGATCAATAACTATGTAACCTGACAAAGTTATTGACTGGATTTTGATGTCTAACTTTCACTATTTTGTCAACATTCATTACTTAATTAAGTGCATTGACAAGGTAGGAGATTATTTATTGTGTAAAATAAATGTTTTTTCATCATTCACCTGACGACTTATTGATGTACCTATATATGCATTCTAAAGTTTCATCAAATTAAAAGGATTTAATGAAATTTCTCTTATTTTGAATAGCTTATATTTAAGATAGTTCATATTCCCTTTTATATTTTAAATTATTCAAATATTTTCAGTTTCATATTGTCTTTATGTTATATTTTTATTTAGTGTTTGTAAAAGCTTCCAATGTTTTAATAAAAGAATATTTTCTGTTGCATAGTTAATCTCACAATTCCAAAAATGTAAAAATCCATCATAATTAATTAGTGTTAAATCATGATTAACTTACCACATTTTTATTGTTCTTGGTTCTTACCTGTTAATAGTGTACAAAAAATGACTATAACAAAGAACCTATGTTTAAGAAAATTCTGTTTGTTTGTATATAGAAGAGATGAGATTAGATGATGCATTCTATACCATTTCTTCAGGTATTGATTTCATAAGAAAAGAGAAAAAGGCATTTTTCCCCCACAATGTAATTTCATCATCTAGCTATCTGGATAGTATAATAACAGATTAATGGGAGTGCTATGCAAAAGAGAATATTTCCAGGTGCATTTCCCCATTATGGGCATTAATATATCCATGATTTAGTAACACCTTAATGCACAGACAGAACAGAATATCTGAAAGAAAGGAATGATAAACATGAATTCTTCTCAAAGAGATTTTTTATGTGTGTATGTGTATATACTTATCAAAAATTTGTTCCACAGAGAGAAACTATAACATATGTATACAACAAGCAATGTGAAAATGACTAAAAGAGATAGGGTCTTACTTGTAATACTTTGCAACAGGAAATGAGGCAGGTCAGAGGTGTCTCTCTTATGTTTCTGGTGAGATCATATGGGTTTACCTGTTCACCCTACCACTGTAGGCTTATGACATCCATCTTTTTTTATATTTTTTAATCATTTCACCCCAAGCAAGGCAATAAAGCCACTAAGATGCAAGTGGTTACTGAGTGTTAGAAAATTTGAGAAAAATACTATTAAGGAGAGAGGACAATGAAAGAACAAGAATTAAGACAATTGACATTACATTTAAATTTTTGAAGATCAAAGTTGACTGGGAAGCAAGAAGCCAGAAGCGAGTTTCACAAGAAGTGTAATAGAAGAAACTGTTACATCTG